ACTTTGGGAAAAGTTCGACGTAACTGTCTCCCCTTCACGTAGATGTGTGCTCGAAGTAGAAAGATAACTTCCACGAAAAGTAATAGAAATTTTATGTTCGGTGGACATTGGCCAACATTTCTATGCATTAAAAGATATTTGAAGATGATAAATAATTGATTGCTGAGTCGACTTAAGATGTCATTGGTGGAAATTGAATTCCTGGGTTTCTGTAAAGAAAAGGAGCTGTGAATCTTCTGCACAATACGGTTTCTGAGTAGTTCTTTTTAAAAATTTTGTATAATATTGTATTCATTTTTTTTTTTTTAGATTTTTCAACCTGATTACAATAATTCTAGTTTTTCAATAATTTGACGTTGTATATTATTATTTATATTTTATTTTTGATACATTTAGAATAGTATCGAAGCCTGCTAAAATGTGATACAAATATTGGTCATTATTTATTATAAACATTGATATCAAATACATGCTGCATACAATTAATACGTATCGATATTTCCGTGGAGGTATCACGAGATACATTTTTATTTGGTATCAATAGTATCGATGCGATATTAGCCCGATTACTCACATATAGATAGTGTAATTCTATCCTCTTTTGCTCCCACTAAAATCTAATTTCGAGAATGGTTTCGCTCAACCCCGAGCATATTTGGTAACCTCTTCAAATTAACTGGACAAATCTGTCCCACGCGGTTACCAGTTAAATGCCATCGCAATTATAGCTCAATTAGTTAGTAGCATAATTAAGAAATTGAGGAATGGTCGAACGATAATCGTGTATAATACATGGTAAATTGAGATAGACAGTAGAACAAACAAAATGCACCAATTCTGTCTCGGTTTAGCATATTTCACACCAGGCTTGGGCACTTTTCATTTGAAATAAAATAACAAATAGCAGTTTAAAATAATTATTTCAAATACGTTATTTATTATAAATAAATTGTTGTGCCTTTGCAACCTTTAAGTTTAAGGAATATTAAATTTTAAAAGTACAAGAATGTTTGTAGAATAAATTAGGTTATAAAAGTCTGTATAATAATTAGGTAAATAAATAATTTCATGAATAGTTTTGAAATGAATAATAGTCAATGGGAAGGTGTAAAATTTTGGAAACATACATCATATCTCTAAAACAAGCATAAAATATAACAAGATAAGAATATCGAATGAAGCCAAGGTTGGATCGTAATTCTGATAAAATCCGTCCATAGGATTTTCTAATTTACGCGAGATGAGACATAAGAATTTATGGTTACGGTGATATGTATTCCAGAGGGGAGAATAATGATCTAGATGCGGAAAAACTAGCGTAAAGTATGAAATACTGACAAGGAAAGTTTCAGACGTGGCCCTCGCCAATTTTAATAAAATTTGACAGCATAAGACATCCGTGTCTACAATAAAAATAACCATAATTATAGTCGTAGACGGTTGGCCAATTTTAAGAAAAGTAAATATTTTAGACAAAGTTATAGTTGCAGCGTAACAGTAAATTCATAAAGCCAGCGGATATAGAGTCACACCTTTCATAAACAATCACAGCTTTGTTTATAACCTACTGCCCCTAAGGCGGCTATTTAATTAGTAAATTCACTTAAAATCTGCATGGCCCTCCAAATCCAGTCGCTCTATGACTTTACTACCTGCAATAACATCGACAACCGGTGCTAGATGTTTTATGATCAGACTCAGGTACCGCGCGAAACATCTGGGCACCAAGCGATGGCCCGAGCCCGTAGCCTTCTCGCGGAAAAACCCGGACCCGCAAAAATTATTAAAAATCACCGTTACATGCCGCTTCCCACCGACCAACTTCGCCGCCAAAATGATTGGCCGGCGTATTTATAATACAAAACCAATCAGCGACTAATACTTCCTCCCATGGTCTTGGGTACGCCCATGGCGAGGTTAGCTCTTTGGGCGTCCTTGGCCCAGAGAGCAGATTGAGTCAAAGTATCAAACAAGCAACACTGAGAAGAAACCGAACACGAGCCAGCAGAGCGAAGACTTCATCTGGCGGATATCTTATATTGGAGCCTCCAAACGTATCCCCCTAAACAGTCGCACAAAATTAAGTTGGCGTGCTAATGAGCAAAACAGTTATATTAATCGACATTTTATGGAGAATTCTACTTGATAATTCTTAGCTATGGACAACTATTTTACTTGTATTTTATAGAGAATACGTACATAATCATTGAGAAAACAACTGTTACAAATATAAAAGTTACCACGAAACAGTTTTTCATACAATTAATATAAAATGAAACAACTTTGGGTATATAGCGTCAAAGTAAATTGCAAAATAAACATAGAAGATAGCATAAATTGTAATGAATGATATATTCATTGGATAGAGGATGAAATGCCCTTTAAAACGAGCATTCGTACAAGCCGATAGCGTAATTAGTTCCGGAGATATGACGATTTTGGTTTCAAGTCGATGCAGTGGCTAGTTCGGGAGATATAAGGGATCGAAGCGTTTGTTTACATTTCATTGACGCGAGATCAATGACCGTACGTGCTCGTAGTAAACAGAAATACTACGACTTCCTGGTCACGTGACTGTCTCGACATACGCACGAGAGAGAGCTCCGTCTGACGCGTTAGATAGTGGAAATGAAAAAATTACACTTTCCTTTATATGACGATATCTCCAAAACGGATGGTCGGACCGACAGAAACCAAAAACCATTTCGAAGAGGAAGCCTTGCCGCTTCTAACAGTGGCTCAATAATGGGTAAAACACTAGTAGCTTCAGAACTGCACGCGTTTAAAATTTTAGTATTTTTAATACGTATTACGCGAACAGACAAGACACTTCTGAATTAATTCTGAACAATTGAAAATCTGCAAGAATTTCACGTAACAAAACCAGACAGTAAAAAATAGATCTAAGTAAATTAAGAAAAAACGATCAAGTCAAAATAACACAAATATTAATAGGACACGCTAAACTCATTCACATCCAATAAAAAAGGAAGAAACATATTATATTAGTAGAGGAAAATATAAAATTAAAAATAACACGTGCAAGAAACTCAAATTGAAAATATAATGATACTTATCAGTTTTTCAAAGGACATCAATACATATATAACGTGACCTAAAATAAGAATAACTAAATAAAATAAAAATAAATTCGAGTAAACACGTTTGCATGCGCGATATACTGTGGCAGATATGCTCTTTACGTTTCGTTTGCCTTAATCAAATGGATTTTTGTTTCCTTCAAAGACCGGAAGATCTGCGAGCAGACCCGCGCCAGCAAATACGGTTCCGTTCGAATGAAATTACTTTTACGACGTGTTGTGGAAAACTGAATGAAAAAATTCCATTTTAAAGCACACTTAGAAGCCAGCGTTTGCGTAAAGTTCAACTAAATGCGCATCGTTGGGGGAACGGTTCGACATTAAAGGTGCAAACGGATGCTTCCCAGCGATCATTCTTGCGAACGGTTCAGCCGCCGCGTCAAATCATTACATCCGCGCTCGAGAATTCACCGGCTTCTTCCCCGTCATTAAAAGCCCCGGATTTTTTTTTTTACATGTTTGCCGAGGGAACAAAGTTCGCCTTCAACGGCACCCCCGTGCTCGATCCGCGATGGAATGTTTGAATAAAGTACTTTTTATTACCGGGCACTGTAAAACCAGCAACCCTTGCAACCGCAAACGTGAAAATAAAACCCCGACGCTCGAGCATCGTCTTAGACTCGGCCATTGTTCTCAATGACCGTGCCTTACGCTATGCAATTTATACACTATCTGTATACGTTTCGGCGCTTCGGTTTCGTGAACTATACATATACGATGAACCGCATAGTTGAAATTTTACGTTCACCGTGAAACTGTTACCCATTACATCGCTGAGTATCTGGCTCATCTTAAACAATGAGGAATGCTACTCGAAATAAATTAATGCTTAAAGCCAGTTACGTAATATTGTCGGGTAAAGTCATATTAATGGCGCGTTGTTCGCGTTCCGATATTATTAAAGGGCCTTCGAAATTAAAATTTGTTTAATCGATTCCTAATGCATCTTGGCGTCTTTATTTTACGAATAATATTGAAAATTAAATTTATTTTGTGCTCGGTTCGAATATACTGTTTTTAATTTCATGTACTTCAAAATAAAGTAAAAGATAATTCGATACGAGAATTAATAAATTGTCGTCGACCACGCGTTGGAAAACTGTGCTACAAAGTTTGAAAAAGTAGGATTCAGTTACGAAGTTTTAATGTCTGAGGGAAATATACCAGATTTATATGTTTTATACCAGAATTCGAATAAACTTGAAAGCAAATTTATTTTATTCCTAACATAAATATTCGTTGCAATAATAATTATTGAAATTAATGGAAATAATATCGAAAACAAACTACAGTAATATTAAGAAAATAACAGTTACATTAAAAAAATTATAATAAAATTAAATGTTCCGTAAATTTTCATCTAGAAAATCTACTACGCCTCCATATTAGAAATTTGTATAAAAAGCTGTATACTCTTCTGGTATCCATTGCTTCATTAGATCAAATTCAGGAGCACATTGGTATCTTTTTCTTTTGCATTCTAAGTAAGGTTTCCTATTTGACCTATAGAACAACATTTATTTCATTTGCAATCGACCATTTAAAAAACTGAAATAAATTAGACACGAATGAATAGACGAGAATTTAATTGATGTCTACGCCTCCATATTCGAAATTTGTATAACAACCTTTATATTTTTCTGATATCCATTGCCTCATTAAATCAAATTCGGGAGCATATTGATATCTTTTCCTTTTGCATTCTAATTGTAAGTAAGGTTTCCTATTTGACCTATAGAATAACGTTTATTTCATTTGCAATCGACTATTTAAAAAACTGAAATAAATTAGACACGAATGAATAGTCTTGAGTTTGTTTGACGTCGAAAGTAACAGACTTGAAGTTACCCTGACCGTCAGATACAAATACGTTCAACAAAGTGAAATATTTTGTTTCAGGTCCAACAAGCTAAAGCCGTTTTGGCACAGCGTGAACGATTCAATACCAGTTTTGGAAAACCTCTCCTCCGCCCTGTTGTCCCCCCAATACGACCTCGCTCTTGCTCGAGCTTTAGCGATGCCAGAATGTCCTGTGATACCGTTCTTCGGGGCCTTCCTGCGGGAATTGCGGGAAGTTATCGCGTCCGAGTCCAAGGTAAGTCATTAAATTTTATTTCTCTGTAATCACTAGAGCTCCGTCAAGCGATTGCTATCCCGAAGTGTGCTGGCCGAGCCTTGAAACTTTTGCATGGATCATCGTGGGAATTCTAGCAACCAGTCGAAGTTTCAAAGTCAAAACAAAGCGTCGTTTAGCCTCCGTAACGTCGTGCCGTACGTTCTGAACATTAGAAATTAACCGTTCAAATAACGCGCGTAGCAGCGGGGACGAACTTTTTCCTTAAATATTTACTCGAGGCAACGAAAAAATCGAGCAAATTTCGATGGATCGGTTTCGCTTGCAATACAAACAAAAAATAAACGATATCTTGCGAGAAAAAAAAATTAATCGAAACAAGGGAGACGTAAAACAAATATTTTTCCTATGGGACTTTGTTTACGGCCAAATTAAGTTTGAAAATTCGTGTACACGCGCCCGACCGAATACGTGCAATGTTTTATTCAAATAATAGATGACGAATCCAAACAACGTATAGAGATTTATTCATGATGTTCGTTCGATCGGTTAAGCTTCGATCCGTTCAACGTGAAATACAATTTCAGTTTATAATTGAAATTCTAATTTTCATTCAACGCGATACGAACAAAAAAGTTACGCGCTTTTTATTCGTAGAAAATTTTATTGTTGAAAATTTTTTGTCGAAATTTTTGTTGAAAATTTTGCACGGATTTTTGTATTCCACCGTGTCTTGAAAACGCGTTTCTCTGTCGTTGCAATAATTAAGAGTATCTTCGTTAAAAATGATACTATATTAAATGGTAATAAAATAAAATAAAACGTTCCACATTCGCGCGTATCGTGCAACGAAATCCTCTATCGCACAAATTGGATGTTCCAAAATATTTAGACAAGCTCTCCTGTTTCGTTTTATATCCTGGATTTGGCTTATACGCCGCAGAAAATACAGTACTGTGGTTTTAGAATATTGTTCAGAGCAGCACAGTAGTTTCAGAATACTGTACAGAGGTGACAGTACCAAATGGAACCCTGTTTATTATTGTTCGTACGGTGCTCCATTGCATATTCTTCGAACCATTTCTGAAAGCTTGCAACTACGTATAATTTAAAACAGCATGGTCGTCGGAATTATTTTAGGACAGGATGACTTTTCATGGAAAGAAAACAAATACAAAATAAAGAATAACATTTTTTTATTCGAGAAAATCGACTCTGAATATTCACAGGGACATAAGGAAAAGGGATTTGAAGGTAGAAAACAGAAAACTTGATCCAAGTATTTAATCGATGGCTAATTATCGCATAATAATAAATTCGTAATTAACGAAAGATAAAAACGACCACTAGTTTACTATTATTTTCATTAAGAGAGCAAGGTTGTGTCGTTTGGTGCCAGAAGCAGAGTGCACGTTTGCCTGTTAGAGCTGGTATTTTATACTCTAAAAGCAGGCTAATGGTTACTGTGCTTTGCCCAAGTCTAGGAACAAACCCACCGTAGAGTGAGAAAATATCATTGTAGTCTTAACGACTCCGGTTTACTGCGACCAGATGACGGTTGAAACGGTTAACCACGTCGAGGATTCGAGTCTGGCGGTGGAAATTCAATATTTTTGCTTGAAAATTTTCCAAGCAAATCAAGAATATTGTGGTTTCGATCGCTTTGAGACTGTCTTGGCGCTGAAATTGGTCGTCTTGAAAGTCTTGAATGTTTTGTATGTTGTAGAGCGTCACCAAGGTCTTGACTGAGTTGGAAACGATTCAACTTTTAACAACAGTTATCGTTATCTAACTAAATTACAAGACAAAGTTTTAAATGCAATTTTCTATTTAGATTCGTTATGCATCTTTTCTACACCTTCCTCGCCGAGGTTCATAATACACTGTAACAGTGCTTTTCAACCCTTTTAGAGCGCGACCCAAATTGCATAGTGGATTATTCTCAGCGTCCCATAATTCTTAATAAAAATGTCAAACTCTATGAATGGATTCTTGATATTATTACAAAGTGTCGCGTTTTAATGTATGAAAAGTGGTATTTGAAGAATATTCACGTTCTGTTTTAATCAATTACCGAAAGTATGATTTGGTAAATAATTTTAATAATTTGTTTGTTTTTGGTGAAAACGTAAAACCCATGGATAATTCTTCTGGTCCATAAAGTACGACATAAATTTACGAACCAGAAGAATCATCCATTTCAAAGGTTTTACGTTTTCATAAATTTCTAAATTTATCGCTCTAAGAGAAGAATCATTCATTTTATGTGTCAGTTGTTTGAGAACGATAATCTATTGACAGGGTGAATTAAAATTTAATTTTTGTTTAAAATATTTTCGATGTAAGACAGACGTCGAAGATGCAGTTGATGAATTTCTTGATTCTGGAAGTATAGATTTGTTCACAAAAGGATTAAATTGCTAATTGAACTCAGTGGAGATAATCTCGATGGATAAAGTTCCGTTTTAACGGAATCGTAGAAAGTGAAATGTGTGCAACAAAGTAACAATAAAGATCAGTGATCCACGTGATGATACTATCCGACGTGTCACTGTTTTCCTATCATTTATTCAAACCTATCGTATAACGGGTAGGTGGGGCACAAAGGGAGAAAGAGAGGAGCCGTGAGATCGAATGATTTTACAGTGAAGTACACGTACGATTTGGCAACCGGCCAAGGAAGTTCTTCGATAAAATCCGTACATTCTCCGTGTCTCTGACGAAAGCGTCGAACCATGGAATACGAGCAGCGAACGAGGCCAAAGGTTGCCTGGAGATACGAAAGCTACTCAAATCACCAACCCTTTCCTTTCGTTTGACTACTCTAAAACGAAAAAACAGCGATACGGGCTACTAGCTGGATCATTGAAATCAGAAGATATGCGTGCGCTAGACGTTTTGCGATTTGATACTGTTCTCTAACAACGCGCCAGAAAAAAATTACATACAAATGCATTTCGAAACGTGTTCTATAAAATAATACATCGATATTGTTGATAGAGTAACAAACTGTTAAAAATGTTATTGAGCTTTTGTTAGACTTCTAAATGAAATATTGAACCTATAAATAGTTTCTAAACGTTTATATTTATTGTAAAGGAGAGTTTGAAACTTGGTCTTGCAGTTGTTAATCAGTGTTAACTAAAATAGCGTCCAAATCGTTTCTCTTCAAAATTATATGAATTTTTAGGCTCTATTTTTTGTTATATATATTTTGGCAGATATATTCTTGGCATTGATAGTGGCATGAATTCAAAGATTAAAAAATCTGCTTTTTTATAGAACTGATATACTGGTCGTGATATTTGGTTAAATTGATTGTTGAATGTAATGGAGATAGAAATATGCCATTTTACGTGATAAAAGTGTTATGCTAACGGAGCTTATTTATGGAATAAAAACAAAATTTATATTTTGTGCCACTATTAATACCATAACTACCTTTTAAACTTTAAATAATTCGAAAGAATATTAAAGTATATTACAAGTATTAAATTCTATGATTAATCAATTTAGCAGATTAGAAGGTAAAATACAACAAAATTTCATCTAGCTCCATAGGAGTCATAGGAAACTCACGAACTACTAGACTGTGAATTTTGCGTTAAGATAAAATAATCTAATTACAAGGAAACTTCTACTATTATTCAAAATTGTCTATGATCCTCCTGAGGAATCATGATTCATAATTTAAGAAGCTCCGGTGTTAAACAGATAGCGTTTCGTTCTTGTTTGATTATTCGATGAAAATATCGTGCCTGAGAACCTGAGGTTCCACCAGTCTGAAATCTCCAATGTATGAATAATTCAAATATATAATTATCACCTAGTAAAATATTCAACCGTAACCATAAATTCACTGACAAATCGTGGCGCTGATAGAGAATTTGTCCTGAAATATTCGCTCGTCGACGACACTTTTCTCATTTTCTGTTAATGGCTAATAGCAGCACGGAAATTATTCGCGTGTAAAACGTACGGACGCTAATTTGACAATTTTTAATCTTGAATGTACGACGTATCTCTCTGGATAATGTACGAATAAATATTTCATCAAAATTAATATTTTGAAAATAACCCGAGTATTCGCATGTCGAGTAACATCTTTTTAATTAATTTCAGATTTCCAAATTTAAAATTCATACGATATTTACTTACACTTTCTCTTCAATATAAAAACAAATTTTGTTAACAGATTTAGAAAATGTGAATCTATAAATTAGTTGTATTAATATTGTTATGTAGAAGACAAAAGTATTTTCCAAGCATTTCTTTCATTTTTTATTATTATCAACTACTCCAATTTCATTCTCAGTATTCATACAATACGTCTCAGTAATTACGATACAAATAGCAAGTTATAAATATAGAATACAATTTTTAAAAATAATGCTTCATTTTCGAGATAATTAAATTTGAAAATTTGAAATTTGTATTCGAACGAGTTATTTGGATTTTCAGATGAATTCTTGTTGGTTGAAATATTTGTTGATCCAGGTGAATAAAATGTAATTTAACGTTAAGTCTGTAAATGGATACTGTCGCGATTAATCCCTCGATTACTCAGGCCTATAAAAATGTAAAATTGGTCTCACCTTGAGAAGATGGAGCGGACGAGGACGGAAAATGAAGCAGAAATATATAGAGCGATAAGGTTAGGGGTTTCTATCGGCCTCCAGCAGCAATGACGGTTGTAGGCCGGCGGAAACTACTTGCTCTTGTCGCTAACGATCGACGCCTCGAAAAACTCTGAGCACGCTGGACTTATGGCTTCCACGAATACTTTAATGAGCTTCATTCAAGTAATGAACAGGTATTTGTTTCGCTGGTACGCTCCTACTCGCCCTATCCGTGGAATACTTGTTGAATGGAGCAGCGAAAAGTGTTTATAAGTTCTCTTATCAGCATCTAGAACGAAAACAATTTTTGTAACTTCGAAAACACAAAGAAACATCAGAGTATTAATTTATTCAAATTGTCTTCATTTTTACAATTCTTTGTATTTTTTTTTAATTTCATGT